AGATACACAAACATACACACACACATACAAACACACAGACACCCACACACACAGACACACACGCACAGACACACACATAGACACACACACACAGACACATTCAGACACACACACAGACACATTCAGACACACGCACAGACACACACACACAGACACACACAGACATACAAACACACAGCCACACAGACACAGACACACACAGACATACACACAGACACAGACACACACACAGACACACACACAGACACACAAACAGACACAAACACAGACACACAAACAGACACAAACACAGACACACACAGACACACACAGACATATAAACACACAGCCACACAGACACACAGACACACACAGACATACATACATACATACACACAGACACTCACACTCCCAACACACAACCCCACACCGCCACGTTGCCCTGCGGCAAAACGCCGACACGCCGCCTCAGAGGCGAATCCACACACGATCACCCCCCCACTACTCACACCCCCCCCACTACTCACAACCCCTCCCCCCACTACTCACACCCCCCACTACTCACACCCCCCCCACTACTCACACCCCCCACTACTCACAACCCCTCCCCCCACTACTCACACCCCCCACTACTCACAACCCCCCCACTACTCACAACCCCCCCCCACTACTCACACCCCCCACTACTCACGACCCCCACTACTCACACCCCCCACTACTCACAACCCCTCCCCCCACTACTCACACCCCCCACTACTCACAAACCCCACTACTGACCCCCCACTACTCAGCCCCCCACTACCCCCACTACTCACCCCCCCACTACTCCCCCAATACTCACCCCCCCCCACTACTCCCCCCCCCAATACTCACCTACCCACTACTCACCCCCCACTACTCACCCCCCCACGACTCACCCCCCCACTACTCCCCCAATTCTCACTCCCCACTACTCACACCCCCCCCCCAATGCTCACCCCCCACTACTCACCCCCCACTACTCACCCCCCCCACTACTCACCCCCCACTACTCACCCCCCCACTACTCACCCCCCACTACTCACCCCCACTATCAGAGATCTCGCTTCGTGATGGTGGTGGTGATGGTGATGGGGGTGGTGATGGAGGTGGTGATGGGGGTGGTGATGGTCGTGGTGATGGTGATGGAGGTGGTGATGGTGGTGGTGATGGTGATGGAGGTGGTGATGGTGGTGGTGATGGTGATGGAGGTGGTGATGGTGGTGGTGATGGTGGTGGTGATGGAGGTGGTAATGAGGGTGGTGATGGTGGTGGTGATGGTCGTGGTGAAGGTGATGGAGGTGGTAATGAGGGTGGTGATGGTGGTGGTGATGGGGGTAGTGATGGTGGTGGTGGTGATGGAGGTGGTGATGGTGATGGAGGTGGTAATGAGGGTGGTGATGATGGTGGTGATGTTGGTGGTGATGGTCGTGGTGATGGTCGTGGTGATGGTCGTGGTGATGGTGATGGAGGTGTTAATGAGGGTGGTGATGGGGGTAGTGATGGTTGTTGTGATGGTGGTGGTGATGGTTGTTGTGATGGTGGTGGTGATGGTTGTTGTGATGGTGGTGGTGATGGTTGTTGTGATGGTGATGGTTGTTGTGATGATGGGGGAGGTGGTGATGTCAGAATGATGAGAAACAACCCACAGCAATCGACACCAGGCACATTAAAAACTGAGTAGCTGGTGTAGCGGTGTGTAGTGAACATCGCCACTGGGGAGACAAAGGCGGCCGGGCGTGGTGCTGGCCACCCACCCCCTCTGTGTGTGCCACAGTGCCGGTAGCCTTCATAGGTTGCTGCTGCTACTCGCTACTAACAGCACTTGCCCCTGCAGTCTGTTAGAGGCTACACGGGGGATCTTTGTCTGTGGCTGTGTGTGAGGTGCTAGCTAACAGCACTTGCCCCTGCAGCCTGTTAGAGGCTACACGGGGGATCTTTGTCTGTGTGTGAGGTGCTAGCTAACAGCACTTGCCCCTGCAGTCTGTTAGAGGCTACACGGGGGATCTTTGTCTGTGTCTGTGTGAGGTGATCGCTAACAGCACTTGCCCGTGCAGTCTGTTAGAGGCTACACGGGGGATCTTTGTATGTGTCTGTGTGTGAGGTGCTAGCTAACAGCACTTGCCCCTGCAGCCTGTTAGAGGCTACACGGGGGATCTTTGTCTGTGTCTGTGTGTGAGGTGTTGGCTAACAGCACTTGCCCCTGCAGTCTGTTAGAGGCTACACGGGGGATCTTTGTCTGTGTCTGTGTGTGAGGTGTTGGCTAACAGCACTTGCCCCTACAGCTTGTTAGAGGCTACACGGGGCACCTTTATCTTTGGGGCGATAAGTAAACGAAATACGATACAGGCGAAGGGGGAACAGGTAGGTGGGGTGAGTAATTGGGGTGTGGTGTCTGTGTGTGTGTCTTATCTTCCTCACACACAGACACAGACAAAGATCCCCCGTGTAGCCCCTAACAGGCTGCAGGGGCAAGTGCTGTTAGCTAGCACCTCACACACAGACACAGACAAAGATCCCCCGTGTAGCCCCTAACAGGCTGCAGGGGCAAGTGCTGTTAGCTAGCACCTCACACACAGACACAGACAAAGATCCCCCGTGTAGCCTCTAACAGACTGCAGGGGCAAGTGCTGTTAGCTAGCACCTCACACACAGACACAGACAAAGATCCCCCGTGTAGCCCCTAACAGGCTGCAGGGGCAAGTGCTGCTAGCTGACACCTCACACACAGACAAAGATCCCCCGTGTAGCCTCTAACAAGCTGCAGGGGCAAGTGCTGTTAGCTAGCACCTCACACACAGACACAGACAAAGGTCCCCCGTGTAGCCCCGAACAGACTGCAGGGGCAAGTGCTGTTAGCTAGCACCTCACACTCAGACACAGACAAAGGTCCCCCGTGTAGCCTCTAACAAGCTGCAGGGGCAAGTGCTGTTAGCTAGCACCTCACACACAGACACAGACAAAGATCCCCCGTGTAGCCTCTAACAGACTACAGGGGCAAGTGCTGTTAGCTAGCACCCCACACACAGACACAGACAAAGGTCCCCCGTGTAGCCCCGAACAGACTGCAGGGGCAAGTGCTGTTAGCTAGCACCTCACACACAGACACAGACAAAGGTCCCCCGTGTAGCCTCTAACAAGCTGCAGGGGCAAGTGCTGTTAGCTAGCACCTCACACACAGACACAGACAAAGATCCCCCGTGTAGCCTCTAACAGACTACACGGGCAAGTGCTGTTAGCTAGCACCCCACACACAGACACAGACAAAGATCCCCCGTGTAGCCTCTAACAGGCTGCAGGAGCAAGTCCTGTTAGCTAGCACCCCACACACAGACACAGACAAAGATCTCCCGTGTAGCCTCTAACAGGCTGCAGGGGCAAGTGCTGTTAGCTAGCACCTCACACACAGACACAGACAAAGGTCCCCCGTGTAGCCTCTAACAGGCTGCAGGGGCAAGTGCTGTTAGCGAGCACCTCACACACAGACACAGACAAAGATCCCCCGTGTAGCCTCTTCCAGACTGCAGGGGCAAGTGCTGTTAGCTAGCACCTCACACACAGACACAGACAAAGGTCCCCCGTGTAGCCTCTAACAAGCTGCAGGGGCAAGTGCTGTTAGCTAGCACCTCACACACAGACACAGACAAAGATCCCCTGTGTAGCCTCTAACAAGCTGAAGGGGCAAGTGCTGTTAGCTAGCACCTCACACACAGACACAGACAAAGGACCCCCGTGTAGCCTCTAACAGGCTGCAGGGGCAAGTGCTGTTAGCTTGCACCTCACACACAGACACAGACTCAGATCCCCCGTGTAGCCTCTAACAGGCTGCAGGGGCAAGTGCTGTTAGCGAGCACCTCACAAACAAACACAGACAAAGATCCCCCGTGTAGCCTCTTCCAGACTGCAGGGGCAAGTGCTGTTAGCTAGCACCTCACACACAGACACAGACAAAGATCCCCCGTGTAACCTCTAACAGGCTGCAGGGGCAAGTGCTGTTAGTAGCGAGTAGCAGCAGCAACATATGAAGGCTACCGGCACTGTGGCACACACAGAGGGGGTGGGTGGCCAGCACCACGCCCGGCCGCCTTTGTCTCTCCCCCAGTGCTAGCGATGTTCACTGCACACCGCTACACCAGGTGCTCAGTTGAGGCTGAGTCGACCTAGGGGAGGCCCAGGACCGGTTCAGATAATCATCACTGCGTGGTGTTGTCGATGCCGTGAGCGGGAATCGAACTCAGGCCGCAGGGTTCATAGCTCAGTGCGCTAACCGCTGCGCCACCACTCCCCACTCACTCGTACAGACACAGACGCACATTGCACCACCACCACCATCACCACCATCACCACCATCACCACCATCACCACCACCACCACCATCACCACCACCATCACCACCATCACCACCATCATCACCACCACCACCATCACCACCATGACTACCACCATCACCACCATCACCACCATCACCACAACCACCACACCACCATCACCACCACCACCACCACCTACTTCACCGCCACCATCACCTTCCTCCATCACCACCACCACCATCACCACAACCATCACCACCAGCACCACTATCACCAATATCCTCACCATCACCACCTACTTCACCGCCACCATCATCTTCCTCCATCACCTCCCCACCATCACCACCACCACTATCACCACCACCATCACCACCACTATCACCACCATCAACTTCCTCCATCACCACCACCACCACCATCACCACCACCACCACAACCATCACCACAAGCAACACTATCACCAATATCCTCACCATCACCTCCCCACCATCACAACCACCACCATCACCACAACCATCACCACCAGCACCAGCACCACCACCACCACCATGCGTCACCTCTCTCCATCCTGCCCCTCCCTCCCTCTCTCTCTCCACCCACCACCACCACCACGCATCACCTCCACCCATCCTGCCACCCCCCACCACCACCACCACCACACCCTCTCCTCCCCTCACCTCCCCCCACCTCCTCCTCCACATCCTCTTCTCTATAAAGAGCGGCTCACTCCAAGGCCCACCTTCATCTCTCTCCACGAGCGAGCAGATCTCCTCGGCATCACTACCACCACCACCACCACCACTATAACCATCATCATCAGCAGCAGCATCGGAATCAACATCAGCATCATCATCAGCAGCGACGATGTTCTCTTCACGCTCCACGAGCAGCGTAAATCTAGGCGGTAATCGCCGTAGCTATTCGGCCAGCCTGCACGGTGGTGGTGGCGGTGGTGGCTATGGTGGTGGTAGCATATCGCGCGTGTCCTACTCCAACGTGGGCAGTGGCTACGGAGGAGGATTCGGAGGCAGCTTCGGCGGCGGTGGTGGCTACGGCGGTGGTGGCTACGGCGGCGGTGGCTCGGTGGGGTTCAGCAACTTCAACGTGAGCGGTCTCAGCGGCGGGGACGAGAAGCTCGAGATGCAGGGGCTCAACGATCGCCTGGCCGGGTACATCGAGAAGGTGAGCGGCGGTGGTGGTGCAGTGGTGGTGGTAGTGGTGCAGTGGTGGTGGTGGTGGAGGTGGTGGTGGTGGAGGTGGTGGTGATGGTGGAGGTGGTGGTGGTGGAGGTGGTGGAGGTGGTGGTGGTGGAGGTGGTGGTGCAGTGGTGGTGGTGGCGGTGGTGGTGGAGGTGGTGGAGGTGATGGTGGTGGTGGTGGAGGTGGTGTTGGTGGTTGTGGTGGTGGTGGAGGTTGTGATGGTGGTGGTGGTGGTGGTGGAGGTGGTGGTGGTGGAGGAGGTGGTGGCGGTGGTTGAGGTGGTGATGGTGGAGGTGGTGATGGTGGTGGTCGAGGTGGTGGTGATGGTGGTGGTGATGATGGAGGTGGTGGTGGTGATGGAGGTGGTGGTGACGGAGGTGGAGGTTGTGGTGGAGGTGGTGGTGGTGGTGGTGGAGGAGGAGGAGGTGGTGGTGGTGATGGTGGAGGTGGTGGTGGTGGAGGTGGTGGTGGTGGAGGTGGTGGAGGTAGAGGTGGGGGTGGTGGTGGTGGAGGTGGTGGTGGTGGAGGAGGTGGTGGCGGTGGTGGAGGTGGTGGTGGAGGTGGAGGTGGTGGTGCAGGTACTGATAGAGGTGGTTAATGAGGAGTGGGTGGAGGTGGTGGAGGTGATGGTGGTGGTAATGATGGTGGAGGTGGTGGTGCTGGTGGTGGTGGTAATGTTGGTTGACACAGTGATGATGGTGGAGGTGGTGCTGATGGTGTTGGAGGTGATGGTGGTGGTGGTAGTGGTGATGTTGCTGGACACTGATGATGATGAAGGTGCTGGTGATGTTGGTGGACACAGTGATGATGGTGAAGGTGGTGGTGCTGATGGTGGTGGACACAGTGATGATGGTGGAGGTGGTGGTGCTGGTGGTGGTTGTGATGTTGGTGCACACAGTGATGATGGTGGAGGTGGTGGTGATGTTGGTGGAGGTGGTGCTGATGGTGGTGGAGGTGATGGTGGTGGTGGTGGTGGTGATGTTGGTGGATACAGTGATGATGGTGGAGGTGGTGGTGCTGGTGGAGGTGGTAATGTTGGTGGACACAGTGATGATGGTGGACGTGGTGGTGATGGTGGTGGACACAGTGATGATGGTGGAGGTGGTGGTGATGTTGGTGGAGGTGGTGCTGATGGTGGTGGAGGTGATGGTGGTGGTGGTGGACACAGTGATGATGGTGGAGGTGGTGCTGATGGTGGAGGTGATGGTGGTGGTGGTGATGGTGGTGGACACAGTGATGATGGTGGAGGTGGTGGTGATGTTGGTGGACACAGTGATGATGATGGTGGTGGTGGTGGTGGTGATGTTGGTAGACACAGCGATGATGCTGAAGGTGGTGGTGACGGAGGTGCTGATGACAACCAATCATTGTCATCAGCCGCAGCATCACAAGATAAATGAATAAATATTTAAGTATTTTTCGATTCCGAGTTGACACGAACTACAATTGCGAGATTCCTAACGAAGTGCATCCTTAAGAAGAAGATAAAAAAACGACACAACTACTCACCACCCCCAACTAATGATGATTGTCAACGTGAAAATCCAATCGTAGAGTTCGAGTTGGGTTTAGAGCGCAGGTGCCGAAGGGTGGAGGTTAAGACTTAGAGGTCAGGCATGGAGGTCATGGCCAGAGGTCAGACATGGAGGTCAAGGCCAGAGGTTAGGGGAACAGGTTAGGGATGGAGACTAGGGATGGTGGTTAGGGTTGGAGGTTAGGGTTGGAGGTTAGGGATGGAGGTTATAGATGGAGGTTAGGAATGGAGGTTAGGGTTGGAGGTTAGGGTTGGAGGTTAGGGTTGGAGGTTAGGGTTGGAGGTTAGGGATGGAGGTTAGGGATGGAGGTTATAGATGGAGGTTAGGGATGGAAGTTAGGGATATAGGTTAGGGATGGAGGTTAGGGATGGAGGTTATAGATGGAGGTTAGGGATGGAGGTTAGGGATGGAGGTTATAGATGGAGGTTATAGATGGAGGTTAGGGATGGAGGTTAGGGATGGAAGTTAGAGATGGAGGTTAGGTATGGAGGTTAGAGATGGAGGTTAGGGATGGAGTTTAGGGATAAAGGTTAGGGTTGGAGGTTAGGGATGGAGGTTAGGGATGGAGGTTAGGGTTGGAGGTTAGGGATGGAGGTTAGGGATGGAGGTTAGGGATGGAGGTTAGGGTTGGAGGTTAGAGATGGAGGTTAGGGATGGAGGTTAGGGATGGAGGTTAGGGATGGAGGTTAGGGATGGAGGTTATAGATGGAGGTTATAGATGGAGGTTAGGGATGGAGGTTAGGGATGGAAGTTAGAGATGGAGGTCAGGGATGGAGGTTAGAGATGGAGGTTATGGTTGGAGGTTAGGGATGGAGGTTATAGATGGAGGTTAGAGATGGAGGTTAGGCCTGGAGGTTAGGGATGAAGGTTAGGGATGAAGGTTATAGATGGAGGTTAGGGATGGAGGTTAGGGATGGAGGTTAGGGATGGAGGTTAGTGATGAAGGTTAGGGATGAAGGTTATAGATGGAGGTTAGGGATGGAGGTTAGGGATGGAGGTTAGGGATGGAGTTTAGGGATGAAGGTTTGCCCTGGAGGTTAGGGATGGAGGTTAGGGATGGAGGTTAGGGATGGAGGTTAGGGATGGAGGTTAGGGTTGGAGGTTAGGGATGGAGGATAGGGATGGAGGTTAGGGATGGAGGTTATGGTTGGAGGTTAGGGATGGAGGTTATAGATGGAGGTTAGGGATGGAGGTTAGGCCTGGAGGTTAGGGATGGAGGTTAGGGATGGAGGTTAGGGATGGAGGTTAGGGATGGAGGTTAGGGATGGAGGTTAGGGTTGGAGGTTAGGGATGGAGGTTAGGGATGGAGGTTAGGGATGGAAGTTAGAGATGGAGGTTAAGGATGGAGGTTAGGGATGTAGGTTAGGGATGGAGGTTAGGGTTGGAGGTTAGGGATGGAGTTTAGGGATGGAGGTTATAGATGGAGGTTAGGGATGGAGGTTAGGGTTGGTGGTTAGGGATGGAGGTTAAGGATGGAGGTTAGGGATGGAGGTTAGGGATGGAGGTTTGCCCTGGAGGTTAGGGATGGAGGTTAGGGATGGAGGTTAGGGATAGAGGTTAGAGATGGAGGTTAGGGATGTAGGTTAGGGATGGAGGTTAGAGATAGAGGTTATAGATGGAGGTTAGGCCTGGAGGTTATGGATGGAGGTTAGGGATGGAGGTTAAGGATGGAGGTTAGGGATGGAGGTTAGGGATGGAAGTTAGGGATGGAGGTTAGGGATGGAGGTTAGAGATGGAAGTTAGGGTTGGAGGTTAGAGACGGAGGTTAGGGATGGAGGTTAGGGATGGAGGTTAGAGATGGAGGTTAGGGTTTGAGGTTAGGGATGGAGGTTCGGGTTGGAGGTTAGGGATGGAGGTTAGAGATGGAGGCTAGGGATGGAGGTTAGGCCTGGAGGTTAGGGTTGGAGGTTCGGGTTGGAGGTTAGGGATGGAGGTTCGGGTTGGAGGTTAGGGATGGAGGTTAGGGATGGAGATTAGGCCTGGAGGTTAGGGATGGAGGTTCGGGTTGGAGGTTATAGATGGAGGTTAGGGATGGAGTTTAGGGATGAAGGTTTGCCCTGGAGGTTAGGGATGGAGGTTAGGGATGGAGGTTAGGGATGGAGGTTAGGGATGGAGGTTAGGGATGGAGGTTAGGGATGGAGGTTAGAGATGGAGGTTCGGGTTGGAGGTTAGGGATGGAGGTTAGGGATGGAGATTAGGCCTGGAGGTTAGGGATGGAGGTTCGGGTTGGAGGTTATAGATGGAGGTTAGGGATGGAGTTTAGGGATGAAGGTTTGCCCTGGAGGTTAGGGATGGAGGTTAGGGATGGAGGTTTGGTGCTGGCATGAAAACGAGACACACAAACACGCAGCTCAAACGCCTTTGGCCTCCTCTTCCCTCTTCCCTCTCCGCTCCCCCCACCCCCCAGGTAAAGTTCCTGGAGGGAGCCAACCGCGAGCTGGAGCTGAAGATCAAGGAGATGCTCAAGGGCAAGGGAGGCTCCTCCAAGGACTACAGCGGCTACTACAAGATCATGGACGACCTGCGCGCGAAGGTGAACCCGCTCGCCCGTCAGCAGCATCGTCATCATCATCAGCAACAGCAACAGCATCGTTATCATCATCATCAGCAACAGCAGAAGTAGCAGAAGCAGTAAGCGGAAGCAGCAGCATCATCATCATCATCAGGAGTATCATCATCAGCAGCAGCATCATTATCATCAGCAGGAGAAGTAGCATCATCATCATCATTAGAAGTAGCATCATCATCATCATCAGCAGCATCATTGTCATCAGCAGCAGAAGTAGCAGAAGCAGTAGCGGGAGCATCATCATCATCAGCAGCAGCAGCATCATTATCATCATCAGAAGCAGCATCATCATCAGCAGTATCATCATCATCAGCAGCATCATTATCATCAGCAGCAGAAGTAGCATCATCATCATCATCAGCTGCATCATCATCAGCAGCATCATTATCATCAGCAGCAGAAGTAGCAGAAGCAGCAGTGTAAGCATCATCAGCAGCAGCATCATTATCATCATCATCAGAAGTATCATCATCATCATCAGAAGTAGCATCATCATCAGCAGCAGCATCATTATCATCATCATCAGAAGTAGCATCATCATCATCAGAAGTAGCATCATCATCAGCAGCATCATTATCATCAGCAGCAGAAGTAGCATTATCATCAGCAGCAGCAGCAGAATCAGCATCTTTATAGCAAGCAGTCTGATTAAATGTCCCCAGTGAATATCTCTCTGTGTGTCTCTATGTGTCTCTCTGCGTCTCTCTCTGTGTGTCTCTATGTGTCTCTCTGCGTCTCTCTCTGTGTCTCTCTCTGTGTGTCTCTATGTGTCTCTCTGCGTCTCTCTGTGTGTCCCTCTGACTCTGTCTCTCTGTTTGTCTCTCTGTATGTCTCTCTGAATCGGTGTATCTATGTGTGTCTCTCTGTGTCTCTCTCAATGTCTCTCTCTGTGTGTCTCTATGTGTCTCTCTGCGTCTCTCTCTGTGTGTCTCTCTCTCTGTGTCTCTCTGACTCTTTCTGTGTCTCTCTCTGTGTCTCTCTCTCTCTCTGTGTCTCTCTCTGTGTGTCTCTCTCTCTGTGTCTCTCTGACTCTCTCTGTGTCTCTCTCCGTGCGTCTCTCCGTAGATCCTGGTTCAGATCCTGGAGAATGCTCGAATCAGCCTGGAGATTGACAACGCGAGGCTGGCAGCTGATGACTTCCGCACAAAGTGAGGCCCCTCAGACTGACCTCACCCTGACCCAAACACTCACCCTGACCCTGACTCTCACCCTGACACTCACCCTGACCCTGACACTCACCCTAACACTCACCCTGACACTCACCCTGACTCTCACCCTGACACTCACCCTGACACTCACCCTGACCCTGACACTCACCCTGACACTCACCCTGACCCTGACACTCACCCTGACACTCACTCTCACCCTCACTCTAACCCTGACCCTGACCCTCACTCTAACCCTGACCCTGACTCTAACCCTGACCCTGACTCTCACCCTGACCCTGACTCTCACTCTAACCCTGACCCTGACTCTACCCCTGACCCTGACTCTCACCCTGACCCTGACCCTGACCCTGACTCTCACCCTGACCCTGACTCTCACTCTAACCCTGACCCTGACTCTACCCCTGACCCTGACTCTCACCCTGACCCTGACCCTGACCCTCACTCTCACCCTGACCCTGACCCTGACCCTCACTCTCACCCTGACCCTGACTCTAACCCTCACTCTAACCCTGACCCTGACTCTAACCCTGACACTCACAGTGACACTCACCCTGACACTCACCCTGACCCTCACCCTGACTCTCACACTGACACTCACCCTGACACTCACCCTGACACTCACCCTGACACTCACCCTCACTCTCACCCTGACCCTC